TTTTTTTTTTTTTTTTTTTTTTTTTTTTTTTTTTTTTTTTTTTTTTTTTTTTTTTTCATAAAATTAAAAATGTACAAAACACGTGCCAATAAGAATCTTTTAACAAAACACTTTCATCACGCCATCAATGACAATTACTGATTCTTAGTAAAGTACATTTGGTGAGGTAGCACATTACGCGAATGATATTTATTTACAGAGATCTTTTTTTTCTTTTTTTTTTTTCTTCTCTTCCTGAGTTTTTTAATTGTGGTCCCAAAAAAATATAGGCTTGGAAACAAATTTTTTGTTTTTCCTAGTTGAACTCTCAAGGCCAAAATTTGTTAAACATTTCCATAAAGGAATCGTAAATCATGAACGTTATGGCAACATCCAAGCAAACTCTACCTAATCTAGGCACCGTTCCTTTGTAAAAAGCTCTTGGACCTTCGTTTTTCCAAATTTGCACAGCGCAGTCCCAGCTATTTTTATACTTTGAAGCTTCTAGTCCCTGAAAATGAAAAAAAAAAAAAAAAAACATATATATGAGCTAGTATCAACAATTAAGGTAAAATTTTTTTTCCAATTCCATACCTGCATCCTCGTTTTCACAACGTCGATAGGCGTGTTTCCGTATACTGAAGCGGCTCCGGCTATCGCCCCAAAGGCACCGACGACTAGTTTAGGAACATGTTTATTATTATCTCCACCTTTGTACCACTCCTTTGCCGATTCCATGACAAAAAACCGAATCGCCTGATTTGAACCCTGTTTCATAATTGTCGGCACTACACCCTGATAAACTCCTCTAAATCCTGCATAATAAAACACACGCACATAGAAAAAATGTCAAGATTGTTAAACAGACTTTGTACAGAAACACAACAACTCGCAGTAGATACATGCATACAAGTAACTATTAACCATTTTCCTTGATGATGATTCCAACGCCGTGGACGAAGCCCCTGAAGCGAGGATTGGCCGAACGTTGATCGTTAATGAATTTGACTTTGACCGTCTCCATGGGAGTGACGGCGAGAACGGCCTCGCAGGCACCGGCGCAAAGTCCAGCCAGCAGCCGGTTCTGAGCGTTGAGTTTCCCATCCGCGTCCACAAGTTGTTTTTTCACGGTTTCAAAGGAGCCGAATCTTACTGCCGATTTTGGAATGGAGCCGTAAAGAAGGACCGACAAGCCCCGGTACAGTCCGAAGAATCCGTGGTTCTTGACGGTCTTGTTGACGCAGTCTAGTATGCCCTTGTACTGTTTGTCGGCCCCCGTTTTGCCGTCCAGCTGTAGCTGAGTTTTCACGTACTCGGTTGGAAACGTGATGCAAATCTCGATGCCTCCCGTTATTCCACCTAAATTTTTTTGTTTTAGTTTTGTTCTTTCATCACTTATTTTCAATATTATTNTATATAAAACCAAGCAAGTAAATTGAGTGTTTGTAAATTGATTTGTGTAAAAAATATACATTTAACATATCTCGACTCGGCACAACTCGAAATCGGTAAATCGACGTGTGTTACTATCGGAAAAATACATTGCGCGTCTTCGTCAACTAAGCAGAGGCTCACGTGGGGCGTATACCTACTTACAAGTAAACTTGGACAAAGAAATTTTCGTCACAAAAAGTATGCAGTAACAGCAAACTTTAGCAACTCTTACCAGCAATGATGCCCTTGAGGCCAATGTTGCCGGAGGGCGCGGCTGCCGCGGCTCCACTGTTCCTCATCCAGGGTCGTTCTGGAAATGCGTTCCTCGGCTTTAAGCTACCCTCCTTCGTTGCCACCGTGGCCTGCTCAAGTAGACTCGCTATATCCATAATTGGAGTTTGTTGGACTCCTCTGGCTGGAGGCTAAGTCAAATTGTAGGCTGGGGGGGGGGGCTTTGACCCGACCTTACGATTAGTATTCACTATGTTGTACTTGGTACGTGTGTTGATACAATTGCCTGGTTCGATGATAATGATATCCTTTTAGAAATGCTGCAGGCCGTACACACTTCTTATTTAAACTATGTATCACTTGAATACTCTAGCCGCAGTAGACAACAGCGTTGAAGCTGACAGCATGGAGAAATTGAAGGAAAACTTGCCAGCCGGAATCAAATCAGACTATCAGATCAGAGGGGAGAGGGGATCGCGTGAGGTGGTCGAACACCGATGCACGTTGAAAACGATACGTATATATTGCTCATCGCAGTCAACAAGCGCCGCCGGCGTGTTTTATTTGGTCGTCGCGTCGAGTCATGCATATGCGTTCACGTCGACTGCTAGATATTTTTTAAGAATCATGATTTAAGAGGCCAGATTATAAGCAGTAGTTTTAAAATAGTTTCGAAATAAAAACGCTACAGCTAATAATGGCAACCAAGTGGCACATGAACATTTTTTTTTTTTTTTTTTTTTTTTTTTTTTTTTCATAAAATTAAAAATGTACAAAACACGTGCCAATAAGAATCTTTTAACAAAACACTTTCATCACGCCATCAATGACAATTACTGATTCTTAGTAAAGTACATTTGGTGAGGTAGCACATTACGCGAATGATATTTATTTACAGAGATCTTTTTTTTCTTTTTTTTTTTTCTTCTCTTCCTGAGTTTTTTAATTGTGGTCCCAAAAAAATATAGGCTTGGAAACAAATTTTTTGTTTTTCCTAGTTGAACTCTCAAGGCCAAAATTTGTTAAACATTTCCATAAAGGAATCGTAAATCATGAACGTTATGGCAACATCCAAGCAAACTCTACCTAATCTAGGCACCGTTCCTTTGTAAAAAGCTCTTGGACCTTCGTTTTTCCAAATTTGCACAGCGCAGTCCCAGCTATTTTTATACTTTGAAGCTTCTAGTCCCTGAAAATGAAAAAAAAAAAAAAAAACATACCTGAAAAATCGATAGTTTAAATGAATCCATAAGTACCATGATGAACGCGGTGGTGATTCGGGGTGTTGAAGATCCACTCGAGTGGGCCGAGGTCGTCGATGACGGTCGTGTGGATCCAGAGCTGATAAATCAAGTTGAATTGGTGGTGAGCGACGAAATGCGACGGTGGAATTAACAAGGCCAATGGCAAATAAAACATCTGCAAACACGCAAGATAAACCGAACGTCAGACGCTTCGGCGCATCGCTTATTTGATCCCCAAGACCATCAGTGCTGGCGATTTCATTTAACGACTTTGTACATATGTGTATTGGTGACTTCCAACCGAGAGAGAAAAGAGAGGTATACGAAAAAAAAAAAAAAAAAAAAAAAAAAAAAAAAAAAAAAAAAAAAAAAAAAAAAA